TCTTTAAATCTTGTCCTAAATCCTTACAGTCCATGTCATTAGTGGCAGTAAATCTGTCACATTTCTCTTTCATGTTTAATTCTTCTACTATGAAATCTTACTATCTTACTAATTTGCTAATTGGTGTGTACTGAGAATTGTTGTCTTCATCCTCCTTCGCTTTTGTACATCAGCATAATTCCCCCTCTTTTTTTCACCCCAAATTACTTGCTGTTTATCATATAAGCCATGATAAAATGAAGCTGTTAGTATTATCAGATTTACATTAACAGATCTATCTACATGCTTGAGCCTACAATTTAAAGGGAATGAGTCTGCATCTTTCAGTATCCAAAGAATATTTTGAAAGTGAGGAATAAGTACAAAAATAATATTTTTATTGTATACAGGGAGACCAAAACGTTGAGCCCTAGTAAAACGGAACAGATGGTTCGTCTCTTGACTACAAAAAAACAGTTAGAAAAGAGACTGAAAAGGCTAACTGCTATCCCTCCTGAGTGTACCTATGCTGACTGTAAAGCAGTGGATGAAGATGTAAGTAATTCACTGATAATTCTAACATGGTTTTGGTTTTGTATGTCTAAAATGCATGCATTTGTGCATAAATAAAAAAAAGCATAAAAGCATATAATGATGCAGTTGTACTTTATAACAGTATGCACTGACTTCAGGAAACTTCTGAATATTTCCATTTAAATGTGATTCCAAACACTGATCTTAGATAGCCTTATTTTTAAGATGTATGGACAACTTTTATTCTGCCAAATAAAAAGATTTGACTTGCACTTGTGATAGGAGTCCTGGGGTGTACACTCCAGTAAACTGCATTCATATCCATGAACTGCCAGCAATGCAATTCTGTTACTTGTTGATGCAAATCTCAGAGTCCTGTTCTGACTGAGTCATCAGCATAGGATATAAGGCATCTTTGTTACTTAAGAGAAGATTTTTGAGCCCTTCATATCTTGTAAAAATACTAAATAATTCTTTTTTAGATTCTAAAAACTCTAGTCCACACAAAGAAAATGTTTCTTTGGTCTTCCATGTGTTTAGGGCCCCTGAGGAAAGAAAAGGTGAGAAAACCACTAAAAATATGCAGCTGTCCACCAGAAATATTAAGGTATATATTGACAGAAATAATTAAGGAACAATTCATGTCATACATATATGATGCAGTTTTCAGCAATAGTAGGTAACTGTGCCTTGATCCAGGAGATTCCCCCCGGTCTAAAGTTTGTAAAATGTGACTGTGATTCACATAGCTATCTTTTCATGGCTCTTTTTATATTTACTTTTTTTTTATTAGCAAAAGTAGTTATGATACATAGCTCTTAAGTCTTAATTTGATGAAGTGTCTTGATAATGCTTTCTACTTATTGTGATCTGTCTTGAAAGAGAGCAAAATTCTGTGTATTGTGACCACTCACAATGTCTTATCCCGAGAACTTGGGATTCCAATGGCATGGAAGGAACTCTGCTCACAGTAGCACATGGGTAAAGGCAGTGAAGAAGTAGCTTAAATTTTGGAACAGATGGCACTTAGCTGTAGAATGAAGTTAAGAAAATACTGAAAAAGCTTAATTCAGTGTGCTTTTGGAGTCTGGGAAAGGGAAGTTTCCAATTGTGTTGTGAGATGAGATGAGGTGAGGTGAGGTGAAGTGTCTGGAGATGAGATGAGATATGAGATGAGATGGTGGTTCCAAGCAGGGGTGACAAGTGAGCAAAAGAGTCTCAGCTTCTTGTAGATACTTAGTAATTTGTTCTGTGATAGAGGCATGCAGTCATTGAATTGCTTTGAGTAGGAAAGTCATGAACATACAAGCTTGCCATGTCTGACTGCATCTGGTTGCACATCTAACTGCATGGCATGACAATTGGAACTGTTGTAATGGCATCTGTTTTAAAGGTGAAAAAACCTGATAGCATATATAAGTGTACTGAAGAGCCTGGATTTGTCATCATAAGGAAGCTACTGATGGTATCCATCCAATTATACACCTTGGTCTTCACATTCACTGGAAGTCAGAAACAGCTATATTTCCCTGTAGTGCTTACAACTTCATTAGATAAGATTTTTTTTTTCATTAACAACACCTGCTCATGCTTAATACTTCTTGTGGTTAATACTTAACGTTTCCTTTTATTTGTAGAGTTTGATGAACATTTTTCAGCGTCTTAGATTTGAGAGAAGAGGTTATCTGCAGAAAATGATGGCACTGAGGGGAATTGGGTATCATCATGGATCTATGTCCAGCAGGGAAAGACAAGTAGTGGAGATGCTTTTCAGGCTGGGATATATCAAGGTTGGTAAATTGGTACAAATTCTTTTTTCAAAAAGTCATAATTTCTCCATATACTTAATAAAAAAATATAGTGTACCTTTCACCAGTGGTAAAATATATTGCATTGACTTTGTCATGTTAATTTAAAAAAGTTGACATGAAGGTTACGAAACAAAATAAACTAAGTGAACAGATAACTATAGAACTTTATTTCTAACTAAGAGTTTCTATCCTTTGCATTAGCATATCATAGAATCATTTATGTTGGAAAGTACCTTTAAGATCACTGAATCCAACTGTTATCCTAAGACTTTCAAGTCCACCACTAAACCATGTCCTTAAGCACCACATCTACATGATTTTTAAATACCTCCGTGGATGGTGACTCAACCACTTCCTTGGACAGCCTGTCCCAATTCTTCACAAACCATCCAGTGAAGAAATTTTTCCTAATATCTAATCTAAACCTTCCCTGGTGCAACCTGAAGCCATTTCTTCTTGTCCTATTGCTTGTTACTTGGAAGAAGAAACCAACCCCTCACCTTGCCACAACCTCCTTTTGGGTCGTTGTAGAGAGCGAGAAGGTCTCCCTCCCCTCAGTCTCATTTTCTCCAGGCTAAACAACCCCAGCTCCCTCAGACAGTCCTCATAGGACTTACTTTCCAGATGCTTCACCATCTCCATTGCCCTTCTCTGGACATGCTCCAGCACCTCAATGTCTTTCTTGTAGTGAAAACCCCAAAACTGAACATAGGATTCAAGGTGAAGCCTCACCACTGCTGATTACAGTAGTACAATCATTGCCCTGGTCCTGCTGACCATACTATTTCTGATACAAGCCAGGAAGCCATTGACCTTCTTTGCCACCTGGGCACACTAATGTCTCATGTTTAGTCAGCTGTTGATCCACACCTCTAGGTTCTTTTCCACCAGACAGCTTTCCAACCACTCTTCACCAAGCCTGTTGTGCTGCAGAACCTGGCACTTGGCTTTGTTGAACCTCATACAATGGCCTCGGCCCGTCAATACAGTCTGTCCAAAACCTTCTTTAGAGACTTTCTACCTTCCAGCAGATGAACATTCCCTCCCAATATGATGTGTGAACACTGACTGAAGAAGGTGCACTCGATCTGCTCATCCAGGTCATCAATAAAGCTATTAAACAGAGCTGACCCCAATACTGAGCCGTGGAGAATAGAACTTGTGACTAGCTGCCAACTGGATTTAGTTCCATTCACCACCACTCTGAGCCTGACCATCCAGCCAGTTTTTTACCCAGCAAACAGTGCACCCATACAAGCCATGAGAAGCCAGTTTATTTGGAAGAATGCTGTTGGAGACAGTGCCAAAGACTTTACTAAAGTCTAGGTAGACAACCTCCACCACCTTTCCCTCACTCACCAAGTAGGTCACCTCTATGACATAGTTGCACCTCTTCAAATGGTCTTACTACTAAAGACTGAGACGAAGGTGTTAAGTGGCTCAGCCTTTTCCTCATCCTTTGCCTTTATGTTCCCTGCCCTCCCCTCAATCAATAAAAGATGGAGATTCTTGTTAGTCCTCCTTTTGTTGCTGATGTATTTATAGAAACTTTTTTTATTGTCTTTTACTGCATTAGCCAACCAAATGTGTTTTAGTTAAATTAACTTCATAGGATTATTATACATTGTGCTGTCTTCATGAAATATTTTGATTTGCGTTCAATTTCAATATTATTTCGAGTTCCATAATAGATATGGTATATTTTCAGGGTAAAAAAATTAATATGTGTATGTAATAACTATATTAATGAAACTAATGAGTGAAATTTATGTATTTTTATAGCTCTGTTAAATTTGTCAGATTAAAGTTTAGTCATATGAAAAATTTTAGTAAATTTCCTGTTGATTTAAGTCAGATATTTTTTAAATTGGATGCTGCCATTTCTAATAGAAATATTAATATTTTATATTTTATAGGTAGTCACAGCTACTTCATCTCTTGCTCTAGGAATCAACATGCCATGTAAATCTGTTGTTTTTGTTGAAGATTCTATCTATTTAGATGCTCTGAATTACAGACAGGTATGGAAATAGAACACCCATTCTTTATTACAAGAACAGTACACAAGTATCTGGCATCACACACAAATTCAGAAAAACAGTCTTTTCTTTTACATATGCTTCTGGATATGTTCTGAATTTCAAATGTTCATTTTGGTAATAATAATAGTTTAGCTAAGGTGATTTTACTAATGTTTCAGAACTGCCAACTCACAAATAATGTGTAGTCAAAAGACCTATTTCAGCAATTAAAGCGTTTTGATTGCTCAGTGAATTAAAGGCATATATTTGGCTTTCAGTGATGGGAGCTGGAAAGACAAAAGCTGGTTTATTCTAACCAGGGCTCTACAAATGTGTGGAAAAATATGCTGTAAGAATATAGAGTGGGGATGTAATGACAAAAAGAAAGATTGCTGAATTAATAGGGACATTTGAGTTCCTTCCATCTTAGAAATGGTACTCGACACAATGCAACACAGCAGGGTGTAGGTGAGATTGCAAATGTTATAAAGCAGAATGTCTTCAGCCATGGCACTACTTACTGGGTGAGCTGAGAGACTCTAAGCTTTTCATTAGCACGTGTGTCCTGCTCTTGTGCTACTTTTCAACCCTGTTTTTTAATGAAATATTGCCAGTTTGCTTCAGAATCAAGAGGCCATATAGGCCATATACAGTTGATGGTATTACCTAGCAAGTAGGTCTCAGAGCGTGAGTGGATCTGTGCAATAGCTGGACCTATGTGTGTCTCCTTTCTGCTGCACATAAATATTATGACTCCAGCTTTGTCACATCATCTGGTACAAGGGGCAAGTCCCTACAGCTGCTGCACATAAATATTATGACTCCAGCTTTGTCATATCATCTGGTACAAGGGCCAAGTCCCTACAATGGACCAGACAAAGAAAAGGTGATCCAAGCAAGGGAATATACCCTTAGGAAACTTCTTTCTACTCCTTTTTTTCATATTCTTTGCTCTTTATTCATACAGAGACTACCTCTGCTCCAAATTGACCCAGAAATTATTCAGATTATTCAGAGATAAATGTAACTTGAAAACAAAGCTGGTGTATAGATATAAATAAAGTTAGAACCCACCTTGAAGAAAAATAAATGTTAAAATAATGTGTGAGAGAATTTAAGTATCTTGGACAGTGTTTAGGTCTTCTATCAAATTTGGAAGTTCATATTTTGAAAACTGAAACACACCACATTTGTAAACCAACTAGATTTGAGGTACAACATATTTTGCACACATTATTTTATAATTCTGCATAAATGTTTTATTAAGTCTGTATAGATAGTACCCATATATACAAGGTAGATATATTTTATTCAAGAATGAATAATGCTATTGTATATAATTAATAAATATTTTATTCTTAGATGTCAGGACGTGCTGGAAGACGGGGACAAGATCTGATTGGAAATGTGTTCTTCTATGATATCCCACTGCCCAAAGTTGAAAGACTTATCAAATCCAACGTACCTCAGTTGAAAGGCCAATTTCCTCTGACTATTACCTTAATATTGAGACTCATGCTGTTGGCTGCGAGGGCTGATGATAAAGCAGATGCTAGAGCAAAGGTTTACTATTTTTTCTTATCTTCAATATAATTTAATTATATTGTCTCCTTAACATGAACAGAAAGTTATGTACTTCAAAAGTAAACAGCCTGCCCTAAATGAAATTGTGTGCTCTCCTATACTGCTTCTAGAATCTGTGCCATCTTCCCCGCAGTGTTCTACTGTCTATTGTCATGCATTTATTCTTTGCAATAAATTTTATCATCAGAAAGAATGCTACTAGCAGAAAGGTAGTTTTATCATCTCCTGTTCTATGCAATATTTACATTAAATTGGAGAATGTGCAAGTCTTCCAATCTTTAAAATTTTAGCTGCATTTGGAGAAATGATGTGAACAGACATTTCCATAAGGAAGATGGGGGGCTATGAAATTCTGTCTCAGTTGAAATAATAGAAAATTTTATGTATTACTCACTTGTTTAAATGCACATGTTATCTGGAATCAAAGAATTCTTATTCTTGCCATTTAATGCAGATTTAAGTAAGCAACCATGACAGTGATTGCAAATCGGTTGGAGCGCTCCTCGTTTAAGTGTTAAGGAAAGCTTACCTCCAGATGATCTGGTTTTAACATCCACTTCAGCATATAGGCACTTATTTTCAAGAATGAATTCAGACATAAGTCTTCTTAAGATAATAAATAAAATTGTAAAATTTCTATGTTAAATATTTATTATGTTAAAAATGTATTATAGTGATAGAAGTAATTTCAAAACTTCCTGGGTTTAGCTTAATGATGTTTAAATCCTTGTCTTTTAGATCTCTATATGAATTTAATGTAATTAACTTTACAAGCCTTAGCATAATTTTTGAACTTGAGCACACATCTGACAGACAGAGGACAGACTCTTTCACAAGCATTTCAAAGAGTTAGGCATTCAGCTTACATAAAATTTACATAACCCACACACAGCATTTATTATCCTGGAAAATAATTGATTAAATAAGCATAAAAACTTGATATTAAATTTCTTTGTTTGTTACAATACCAAAAGTACTTTGGATTTCTAATTTTTATTAATGTATTTTTAATTTATTTTTCCTTTTTATTTGACCAGGCATTGTCAGTGCTGAAGTATTCATTGATATCATTCAGAAAAGAAAGATATGCTGAAATATTAAAAATTTATTTTATGTTTTCCTTGCAATTTCTTATCAAAGAGGTAGGTTTTAACTTTTTCTCATAAAGGGCAGTTCTTAAATCTACAGACTGTTATTTGTTTGTGTTCATATGCTTTCATTTAAAAAAACATGTATTTTACATTCCATAGCAATAGGCTATTTCTTTCTGTTACAAATTTAAGGAAACAGATAAAATTTGAACACCTTATGTTAAGGAATAAATACAGAAAGCAAAGTCTTATGGTATGGTCTAAATGGATTAGAAAAGTAAGAGTTGTGCAGTTATATTGTATATGAAGATGTGTACACGTGAAATGATAGGGCTTAATAGACATTAAGGATGACATGATTTCCAAATTGCTGAGAGAAATTATATCTCTAAGAAAAGTTTAGGAAGTAGGTCTAAGATAAGGCTGGAAAATTAGTTGTACATCTCTCTATAGTAGTAGTTTCAGTTTGATGGATACCACTTTGGAAAATTTTTATGCATGACTGCATTTTGGCTTCCTGCTGGGGGCTTCATGCAGTAAGAGGCACCAGTAACGTGTTTACATTAACAGATCATCTGTGCCCAGATATCCTGGTCCTGCTCCCAGTAGGTGTCCTAACCAACACTTCTGCCTGCTCTGCTGGGTGTTGTGTGTGAGATGAGGAATCCGATACTTCTGTTGAAGAGAAGAATCTGATCAGTGCACAGGAGAGATTAATAATGCTTTCAAAGAGAGTTAGCACAAGAACTGGACAAAACCTGTCCCACATACCTAGTAACTTGTCTCCAATAATAGATGTATTAAAAGACATGCGATCATATAACGATGATTCTCTGGATACTCCCTACTTTCTTACAGGGCTTAATGCAGAGTGATCTCTGACAGGAGAGTTGTCCTGGAATTTAGAGCCTTTAAAGGAGTTTTATTGCATGAGCTTTTCTTGTTGCTTTAAAAAACTATATAAGCTTCTAGCATTTGAACATCTTGCAGCAAAATTGATAGGTCACTGCTTGCTGTACTTTTATCCTGTCAAACATTTAGGTTAATTGTGTTTTCTCTAAGCAAGTTGCAACAAGTCTTACTTTGATGACTATGCGCATTTCATTCGCAACATGATATAAATCACACTGAAACTATGAGGTCAAAATCTATACACAAGCAAATTTTTGCCTTTCACTGTAAATTGAACAATCTAAATAGGTACCTATGCATTAGGTTGAAAGACTGTTCTTCTGAATATCACCATTTTATATTGTCATATCATTGTTCATCTTTTACAACAAAGTTGGGGTTTTTTTTTTGTTTTCAAATTAAACAGGGCCACATGGATCAAGATTGTAACCCTGTAGGATTTGCTGGACTTGTGACACACTTGTACTATCATGAGCCTTCAAATTTTGTTTTAGTGAAATTTCTTGTGAAAGGTTTATTCCACAAGTTGTGCCAGCCAATTAAAGGTAAATAATACTGCATGGATCTTAATTGCAATCTATGGCAGGCCCTACAACCCAAATGATTCTAGGTGCCTTCTTGCTGCTGCCACCTTTTGCTTGCCTAGCCTTCATCTTCAGATGCTTGGCCTCTGTCTCTTCATATTCTGCATATTTCTGTCTGAGAAGTCCAAGGCACACAGATGGCAATGCTGGTATCATGAACATATATTTGCTGTTTGTGAAACATTCTGATGAAGTAAAAAGTAATGCCATACATAGAAATATTATTAATTCTGTCTCCAGAGTAAAATCTGAATTCTACATAGCAAACAAGATGAATGACTACTCTGAATATCATTCTGTGCACTGAGATATGATGCAATATGTGAACATATAAGAATACAGTATTGATCTGTACATACTATTAGTTGCTTAATTATCTGTCACTGTCTACTATCTACTATCTACTATCTACTTTGTATGCAATGTGTTGATCTTTATCCACCATAGTTTCACATGGCCTCTGTTATGCCAGTGGCAGCTGTGAAGGAAACTCCTGAATGGGAATTGTTTATTGTAAGCAAAAAGAAATATTTTTTTTTAATACTATCATATTTAACCAAAGTACTTTCTGTTTTGACATAGGCTCAACTGTTTTTTCAGAAGATGTCCTGGAAAAGCTAGTTCTCATTCTAGCAAACTTATTTGGGAGAAAATATCTTCCAGCCTGCTCAATGAAATACAAACACACATTTTTCCAGTCAAAGGTAGAGAAAGCATTGGTCTTTACTGTAACTTCTGTTGTGTACTGCTTCAAACAACCTGTTTCCTTTTGTCAGTTAGACTAGTGTCATTATGGATGTACAGCAGTCTGGTGGACCAGCAGGTAACTGCCCATACAGATGCTCTCATATTCCTCCATCTCAGCAGGATGGGGGAGAAAATAGTATGGAAAACCTTGCGGGTTGAGACAAGAAACAGGGAGATTGCTTACCAGTTATGATCAGGGCCAAACCAGCCTCAACTTGTGGAAAATAAAATTAACTTGCTGCCAATTAAAATGATTTTGGTAGCAAGAAACAAAAAATAAAATTTTCAGCACCGCCTTCGCCTGTCACTGCTTTCCTCAGGCTCAACTTTACTCCTCCATTCCTGACTCCTTTAGTTCCCCATCAACCCAAGCAGTGCAAGGCTGATGGGAAATGGGAAATGAGACATGAGTTGTCATCCCTTGTTAATAGCTTTCTCTGCCACTCCTTCCTCATCCCATGTCACCCCGCTCCAGTGTGAGTCCTGTTTGTGGGTTGCAGTTCTTCAGGATAAACCCGCTGCAGTGTGGGCTCTCTGTGGGCTCTCGTTCTTGCAGAAAACATTCAGCAGCTCTGGTGTAGAGTCCTTCACAGGCTGCTGTGTGGATATCTGCTCTCTCCACAGAGATGGCTGCAGAGAAATTTGTGTGCCACTGTGCTCTCTTCTACAGACTGCAAGGGAATCTCTGCTTCACCACCTGGAGCACCTCCTCCCCCTTCTCACTCTGCTAGAATTTTGTCTCCATCTAAGGAGCTGAAGCTTTTTGTGACATTGTATGATCTAAGGAGCTGAAGCTTTTTGTGACACATACAATGACCCAGAAGGATGCCAGCATGCTCTGTGGTACAGGACACTGTAGGCTTAGGGCTTTTTCAAAAAATGGGACAGTATTAGTAGGATGAGCATTACTATTACTTCTACTCAAGGTTAGCCTACCATGAGTGCAGGCAGAAAGTGAAACATTTTTAATGTATTCCTGTTGACTGCTCTATGCAAAGCCTTAAAATGCTGGAGGACACTGCTATGGCTGGAACAACACAAGAAACTTCTTCCAGATTAAGATATTTATGTGGCCAGTTTCTCGCAAGAATTACTAGAGAAAAAGTGTTCTTTATTTCTGGAAGGTGTTTAGTCATGTAGGAGGGATTACAGGACTATTGTGGCTAAGGGCAGCCATCAGTCTGTCATGTTGGTAAGAAAACTGCTGAACACCAAGATAGACAAAACAAGATCTGGGAAAGGCAGCCCTTCAAAAGCCCCCTATAAGCTAGCCAAAGGATCTTTAGTAAAGCTGTTTGCCAAGGTAGTCTGTAAGGAATTTTATACCTACTGTTCATCTTCCATCCCTTTTTATGCTTGAAATTCATATTCATCTTTAACGTCCATTAATTCTAAATGGCCAGGCAGACTGACAAGCTAGGTAAAGTTTGGAACTATACTCTTTCCTTGTTTCTGCTAATATGTGTGTGCTAGTACTTTATGTATGCACCAATGTAGAATTGACAATTTTGGGCAAATTAGCTAAATTAAGCAATAAACTGCATGTTATTTCAGGTCTTTCTAGAAGACCTGCCAGAAGACTTTGCAGATGCTGTAAATGAATACAACACCAAAGTAGAGGAAAATTTTGCTCATTTTCTTCTGACAATTGCCAAGCTGGCTGATATGGAACAAGAATACAGACTACCACTGTCAAAGACAGGTAGAAAGTGAAAAATTAATGCATGTTCTTAATTTGTGTAATTGATCTTATTAGGAAAGTTCAGTTAATTCTTATTTTATAAAGAAAAAACAGTGACTTGAGATATGCTTATAAAGAGATACAATTTCTATTTCACTTTTGTTTTACAAGCATAATAAATTATATTGTACATGGTAGAAGTTTTGTGCAGGGAAAGGACCATTTCAGTTGCTATTCTTCTATTATTCTGTAGAGGACATAAAAACCAAAGGGTTGTTTTTTTTTTTTTTATGAGATAAAAAATACGGTAAGTCTAATTATTGAATAAAAGCCTTTTTATCAGATAATCAGAGCAATTCCAGATCCTCAGTTACCTGTAATACTTGAATTCTTTTCAGAATCTTACTAAAGGTTAGATTTTCAACACCTGAACAGCCTTTAGGCTGAAGTAGCAATTAAAGAACAATGCGCATTTTTCTAAATCAACTGGGTTACTTATGCTAATAAATGATATTCAATAAGCAAAGCAATATGAAAAGCCATGACTATAAAATTACCAAGCAATATAGATTGCCATTGGGTAAAAAGTATTTAACTACTACATAATCTCAAATTACTTCCTGGAAGAGAGATATAAAAGCAATGTAATATATCACTAACCCATTGCCTAGCTCCTCTAAAAATAACAAGCCTTCAAAAATAGTGTTTTTTCGCAGTGAGAAAGCACTTCAAATATAGGACATCTTTTATTCTGTCCTTCTACATAGGACAGAATAAAAGATGATGGCAAACTAAGTCTTTTAATAACATTCCCTTTTATTTTTTGGCACAACTTTATGCTGTTAGCAATTTTGGCTGCAGATGAGTCAAGGAGAAAGGCTTAATTTGCAAAGGGGAATTGAGACATAATTATTCTTACCATTAGAAAGCTCTTTCTTATACAGTATAACTAAGTGCACAGAGGTTCTTATGAACAAAAGAAACAAACATCAATCAAGAAGGATTTATGGTTAGAAGATTAACTCTATTTCCTATCATTATATACTGCACTGAAAACTTCTCACTTTTAAAACAGATTGCTGAAAGGGAGTTTGTGTCTGAATAGCTTATGATGTATATGAAACTTCTTGTCTAGATTTTACATCTCAGAATTGGCATGGCTCTGAACTAGCATCTTATTTGATGGACAACACCAAAAGAATATCTGCCATCTCACCTTTTGCATGTTTATCTGGACTGGTTGATAATGATCTATTTCATGAGGAGTTTGTTAACGCAGTAAGTTATTTTTTCAGGGGGGCAGAATTTTATTGGAGTTTAATAAAAATATTTATTTAATCACAATCTTCTTCCCTATGTATTATATGTGTCACTCTTTAGGAGAAATACTTTCAAAAAGTGTCAAAAAATCCAGCATGGAGTAGCACCACATTGTCACAGTGCAAGAAACACAGAATAGATGGATGTCCAAAAAAATCTGTAGTTTGCTTTCTTGACTCTCAGACAAGTAAAATATGTTACTATTTCAAACAATATCCCCAGTTTGTTTGCTCCATGTCAGAAGTGTGTTTTGGTATTTCTTTAAAATCAATCACACAGTAGTCTCAAGGGTCCTAGCAAAAGAATGCATTATGGCATTGACTGTTTGCTTTGTAACTGGGATTTCAGTGATTACATTAGATAGCATATGAATGACCTTAATTCTTACATACATCAACATGTCTACCATCAGCTTGCATTTTCCTGTGGTCTTCTACATGGACTTGGCAGTATTAGGGAATTATCACATGGCTCATAATTCTGTAAGAGTAAAAAATTAAATTCCTACAACTGGGGATTTCAAATTCATCTTCATCCTTAAAATGTTCCATGTGTAACACTGATGAATAAATTCAAAGCATCAGTGAATCTTAATAGATGATGTATGCATATGGAAAAAACGTCATCTAAAACTCAAGAGACAGCCAGATGCCTAGTCAAACTTTAAATTACTCAGAACATCCCAGAGCTGCACTAGCAGTTTAAGACACTTCGCTAACAAATCTCTCCTATGTCTCTAGTCTACATGTGTTTTTGCAGATTTTTGGAGTGGATTAGAAGTGTGGAACTTTCCAGCTGTGGGTGTAAAAGTGTAGGTTTGACAAAACAGACATACAGACAAACCCACAGTATTTATTCAATATTTTTGGTTTTTAGGCTGTCCTACGTTCTCTTGGAATTAATGTCAAAAACTGCCCCCTGCTTTATTTGAATAAGTATGATAAGCAGGGAAGGAGGATGCCACTCAATGCATATGCACTGGACTTTTATAAGCATGGTTCCTTGACTGCATTGACAACGGATAACTGGTATGTACTACCATTTATAATACTGTTAAACAATGGCATTGTATACAATATGGTACAAGAGTTCATCTTTTTGGTTTTAAAGCATTCTCCCTCCAGAAGTTAGGGATGAAATAGCTGTTAAATGTGATTAGATTAGTTGAATGTTTTAGTAAAACAAACTGAAGTCCAGTTGCAATGGTTGTAAAATATTAGATGTCTATTCAAACCAGTACCATAAATGGAAAGTGGCACAGGCCATTTTGACAGGCATTTTTTATTTAATCAAAGATTTTTTTTCAAAACGAAAAACAACAGGAGAGTCCCTGAAACGAGGAAGTCCAATGCAGTTGTCCAGAAGATGGTAACGTAGTAGCAGAGAAATGTTAAAAGCTTGGCCAAATAATACAGAAACAGATTAAAGGAGTAATTAATGATCAGTGTCAAAAGATACAGGTATCCAAAAAACAAACTCCAGGTAAATTTGTCAGTAATTCAGTATTTGTACCAGCACTGCTTCAATACCTCCCCTTTTCCTAATCTTTGCAAGCACTTAGCAATTTGTCCTGATAATTGAATCATGTTAGCATCTCTCTTTAAAGGGAAAAAAACCCCCAACAGAACATAACTGACTGCTAAAAAACCTCTGTGCCCAAGCTGGTCAATCAGTGCTGTATAGAATCAGTTTCACATTTAAATCTCTGGCACATGCAGTCTTCCTCTGTTTTTCTGCCTGGATCACTTACACTGCAGATTTTCCAAAACTGGAGTTTTATTCTTTTACGTTCTCTTGCCTGTACCTTTTAGCCCTTTCCTCCTTTAATCTGTTTCTCTTTATTATCTAACAAATATTTTGATATCTCTCTGCTACTAGGTTACCATCTACTACTACCTTGGACGTCCTCATTTTGGGGACTTTTCTTTTTCATCGTGAAGAAAACTTTGACCAAATAAAAAAAACCCAAAAATTCTGAAGAGCCTGTCAAGCTCTTACCCTTG